ACTGTGACACAAACAAGTTGGCATAACAAAAACTCTGCACACATATATATATATAGATAGATAAGCTCATGTACCTAACTTTTACCGTTACATACAAATTGACGATGTGTCATGTTGTGCATTTCCGTAACAAATACACAACGGCATAAGAGCACAAGAGTCGGTAAGTATTGAGGACGATAATGATGATAACTACAACAGTAGCAATGGCGCTGACTAGGACAAACGCAAGAAAGAAAAACAGGACGCACACAGATCAACAAGCAAGCGAACAAACAAACAGAAATGAAACAAAACAAAAAAAAAAAACTGGTCATTTTGTCCGATTGTAATTGTAACTCTATGTAAATCCTTAATAGAGAATTTTTTTAACGGTACATTCTTATTCGTTGATTCTTTCATTTCTTTCTTAAATTCGAATTTTCTCTCAACTGTAGTTTAGCTATAATAAAACTGATCTTAATATGACACATATGTGATAAATAGAATGAAGAAAGTTTTTATCGACCTCACATTAAGTCCATTAATAAAAATCAGCTCACCGATTGGAATCGCTTTCTACTAAATTTTGGATTAACAATTGTTTCATTTGAATATAATTCTCTTTCTAATTTTACGGTTATCCTTGGCTTTCGAGGCTTAAACGCACTTCGATTTGCGATTGCGGAGGTCTTCGAAAATAAATGACCGATTAACACATCCAGCCCGATTAAGCAATCATAATTCTCGTGGATTTCAAGTGTATTTCTGGGTGCGTGGAAAGACAATCTCGGAACATTCACAAAGCTTTGATTGCGAACTTGCTTCACAAACAAAGCACAAGATTTAAGTGTACGAAAATGTACACATATATATATAAAATGTATATATTGTATGATATTATATATGTATAAAAAAAATTTTCCAATCTATTTTATATTCGAGTCAAGCACTGCTGCGAAGCTAGGCAAGAAAGTATACGACAAAATTGTCGGTTTTCTATATACGTTCGCTGCAAGTTAAAAGACTGATTGCAAAATTTCAAGCTTTCGTCAGATAACCGAGCGCGCATTGCTAGTGTATATCGGATAAGCTTCATGAACTTTTGCAAGCGAAAGCTTGCTTATCTAACATAACAATATATTAAACAATTTAATTTTGCATTTTTATAGCCTTCACAAACAACACAGGAAAGTTTGAAACCACTGCAAATATTTGATCTAAATCGCTCGACCCTTTTATATCATATATATATATATACCATCAAGATCAATTTGAAATCTGCTTGCTATTCTTCTTGACTCACTTGCATATTTTTAAATTAAACGATTAAACTATATTGGCCTTTAGTTGAATTCTTGATGCCCGTTATCTTGAACCAGTAAAAAAGATATATCAAAAATAGGCTGATCAGATGCTATATTCGACAGATGTAATATTGTCATTATTGAAGTTAACGGGAAACATTGTCCATTTGCCTATTTGAGGGGAAATGTGCGACATTACCTACACAGTTGAAAAGCATATAAAACATGAAGTGGATCTAAAGAATATGCATAACGATTGGAAGGTATAAAAGTAAATAACAGTTATTAAAACGGAATATTTGAAGTAAGCCATTATAAACGATGACAGTATGTTTGTGTAATATGAACATGAGCATATATACATACAAATATATATATATATATATATATATATATATATA